TCTCTCTCTCTCTCTCTCTCTCTCTCTCTCTCTCTCTCTCTCTTTCTCTCTTTTTCCCTTCCCTTCCCTTCCCTTCCCTTCCCTTCCCAGGCTCTTGCTTTGTAGTCAAGTTGGCCTTGAACTATTATGTAGCCCAGGTGATTCTCCTGCCTCACCCTCCCTAGTGCTGGGATTACCAGGGGGCCATACTCAGTTTTTTTTCCTCATTTTCAAAATGAATATTAAACTGGGTGTGTTAGGGCTGGGGAACTGGCTCAGTAGAATAAGTGCTTCCCTGGCAAGCGCAAGGGCCTGTGTTCAATCCCCAGTTCCGCCAAATAAATAAATAAATAAATAAATAAATAAATAAATAAATAAAAATAAACTGGGTGTGTTACTATGCCCTTGTAGTCCTAGTCCTCAGGATGGTGGGGCAGGAGGATCCCCATGAGTCCAAAGTCAGCCAGGACTATAGACATTCCTCATTTAGTGAGGAATGAATTGGTTACTAAATGAGGAATTGTACGTATCATGTACAATATTTAGAAGAAATAGTCACTGGAAACATTAACTTGATGACTTTGTTTTTATTTATATAACTCTTACATGCACTACCATAATATATAACATTAAAACTATAGTACTATACTGTAAAGTAAACCAGCAAAAGTTACAGTACTAGCTAAGCAAGGATGCACACACCTGTAATTCCACACCCAAGTGGCTAAGGCAGGAGGATGGCTTCAAGTTCAAGGCCAGCCTGGGCTACAAAATGAGTTCAAGGCCAGCCTGAACTGCGTAGTGAGGCCCTGACTCAAAAAGACCAAAAAAAAAAAAAAAAAGTTACAGTACTATATAAATAAACTGTACTTTACTGAAAAGGACATTAAGGGTCTATAAACAAGATATATATAGAACTATTCCCAGAAAAGGGATTGTAAGTCCAAGTGTTGAGTCATAAGTCCAAATAGTCATTCAACAGGTAGGCAGTTAAACAAGGAATCTACATAGCAAGACTCTGTCTCAAAAGAATCAAGATTAAAATTTTAGCTGGGGGCCAGGGCTGTAGCTCAGTGGTGCAGTGCCTGCCTAAAAAGCACAGGGCCCTGAGTTTGATTCCTGGTACCAAAAAAAGAGATTTTTAGCTGGATGTGATAGCACACATTTGTAATTCCAGTACTCTGAGTGACTGAGGTAAGAGGATTTCAAATTCAATCCCAGCCTGGCATAATTTAGTGCTTAGTGAAACACTGCCTCAAAAATAAATAAAAATAAAATATGGGCTGGGGAGATAACTCAGTAGAATATGTGCCTGCCTGGCAAGCACAAGGTCCTGAGTTCAATCCCTGGTACCACAAAATAAATAAATAAATAGGGCTGGGAATGTATCTCAATGCAAAGGCCCTGAGTTCAATCCCTAGTACTGGTGAAGACAAAACCTGGCCCCACTCTGACTCTTTCTAGCCTTAAACACTACTTGCTACATTTTCCTCTGTAGAAGGTCCACAAGAGCCCTTGTGATATGAAACATGATTTCCTTTATTCTGTCTTTTCAGTTCCAAGTTCACTCGAAAGATCCGTTTTCTGGACAGCCTGGGGGAATTAGGCCAGCTCATCTCCCTAGACCAACTTCACATCCCTGATGCTGTCAGACAGTGAGTCGTGCACTAAAAGATGAAGGTTTGGAGTGGGATGAGTAAAGCCAGTCTCCACCTCCCCAGTGCCTTGGGAATACAGAGGTGCTACAAAAGAGAGGCTCTGCCCAACAGAGATGTCAAGTGTAGTGCTGCACCAACAGGAACAAATGGGAAAATATGCGTGCACATGCAGGGGCCAAGGAATGATCACAGTATAGAGATTAAAGGGGGCCTAGAGTAGGCTTGGAATTCAGAAAGGATCTGTGGGCAATGAATAGATCATACCCAGTGGGGACCAGGGTGTTAGGCAGCAAAAGATGCTAAATACTGAGTCAAACACCCAATCTTCTAGCTCATCTAATTCACCAAACCCAATTCCTGTCTCAACTTCTCTTCCCTTACTCCCCATAGGTTGGACAGGGATCTTCATGGCTCAAGAGAGATGCAAAAAAGGCCTTAAAACCGAGCAAAGAAAGTGATCTACATGCATCCTAATCCCCGAGCTGTTTTGCAAAGCGTCTCATCCTGACGCGCAGACCCGCTCTGTCCCCCGACCTTCACTTCTCAGCGGACCCCTCCCAAATTCACAATGGAACGCTTCCACCACCTGCCTTTCTTGGCTGTGAAGCACTCTGAGCTTGGGAGTACTCAGTGCTGCTGGGGATAGATGGGGCTGTGCACAGTGGTATTGGGTGGAACTCTGGGTTTGAATCCTGCTTTTGCTGTAGAGCTGCCTGCTCTTCGGTTCTCCTCTTGCTCTGTAAATGAAGGGACTGTACTCCTCTCTCCACCTTGGTATCCTAGCAGTCTCTGAGGGCAGCTGATGGACAGGATGGGCCTAACTGACCTCAATCAGACTCCCATTTGGAGTCCCGGGAGAAGGGAGACAGCTCGCAAAATCTTGAAGAACCCCTGCCTGCCGATTTCTCCTGTCATGTCTGCGCCTGTGAGCCTGGGAAGGATACTTTTGTCCATGCTGTCCGTGTAGTTATGAATAAACTGCGATGAGAATGAAGTCTCTGTGCGCGGGCCTTTCCCCAGCCCCTGGCGTCACAATGGCCCGGGTTCTGTGTGCTTCCGCAGTAGAGGCGCCCTGGCTGCGGCTCAGCTGGGGCTACGGGAGCCCAGGTGGGAGGGCGCGCCGATTCCAACTACCCTGTGAGTCGGTGGAGTGGAGCAGAGCGAAAGGTGAGGAGACCAGAGCTCGGACCACCCAGCCCCATGGTCTCCGCCACCCGTGTGCTACTCTGGACCCTGCTGCTGAGTTTGGGGTCCCTAGCGGCGGCCTGGCACCAAGGCCAGACGCAGACCACAGCTGGGACGCCGGGCGTCAGCCTTCGCCTTGGGGGTCCAGCCCGCAGCCGCAGCAGCAGCGCAGCGGGCTCGGCCCGGACCCGCCCTCCCCGCAGGACCAGGGTGACTGTGGAGGACGAGAATGACGCCCTGGCCACCGCCGACCGTCTGGCGGGCCCGGCCGCTGCCGAGCTCTTGGCCACGGTGACGGGCATCAGCCAGCAGAACTTGCCCAAGGTCAGCAAGGACGAGGATGGGTCTCTGGAAGAGGGGGTGGTGATCTATGCCAGAGAGAACCACACAGACACCCGCACCGAGACGACTCCCAGCAGAGTGGGCGGTGCCAGCGCCAGCCCCGGAAAGTTCGTAGCCAACACCCAAGAGGGAGATATCAGGTTGACCACCATCCTGCCACCCTCCTCTTCGAGGACCACCGAGGAGGAGGGCTACGTGCTGAGCTCGGAGACCCTGAGCCAGTGGTCCACAGCCGGTTCCAAGCCCAGCAGGTGGCCGCGCCCTTCCCCCACGGCCATGCCTGCACCCGAGGATCTGCGGCTGGTGCTGATGCCCTGGGGCCCGTGGCATTGCCATTGCAGGTCAGGCACCATGAGCCGGAGCAGGGCTGGGAAGCTGCATGGACTCTCTGGGCGCCTTCGAGTTGGGGCGCTAAGCCAACTCCGGATAGAGCACCGGCCTTGCACCTACCAGCAATGTTCCTGTGACCGACTCAGGGAGGAGTGCCCCCTGGACTCCAGTCCTTGCTCCAAAGCGGGTTGCAGCTCTCAGGCCACTACCACCACCACTGCTTCTCCCATGCCCCCCGTACACCTGAGACGTAGGCCTACCCCTCTCCCGCCCAGTGCCTTCTTACCCAGCCCCAGCACAGCTCTGGCTTTTTGGAAACGAGTGAGGATGGGCCTGGAGGATATTTGGAACAGCCTGTCCAGAGTGTTCACAGAAATGCAACCAGTAAGTGTCTTGTTGATAAGCCAGGGTCCTTTTTTTTTTTTTCAGAACTAGGAATTGAACTCAGGCCCTTCCCAGGGAAGCACTTATTCTACTGAGCCATCTCCCTGGCCTAGGCCAGGGTCCTTTATTCAGGCAGCTGAGACTTTCTGATATCACAACCTATGTTAGGCCAGGCATTGCAATGCCTGAACTGCTTTATTTTCCTAAACTGTTACCTTTGTTACTGTACTAGTGATTGAACCCAGAGACTTCACACTAAGTTACATCCCCACTTTTTTTATATTTTGAGAGAGTCTTACCAAATTGCTCAGGCTGGGGTTGAATTCACATGTGATTGCCACCCAATTTTGTTACTGATTCATAACACACATTAGTTATTTTTGTTGCCCACTGCTATTTCCTTTTTGCTTTATTGTTTTTGAAATGGGGTCCCTGTTTAGCCCAGAAACTCTGGGTTTAAGCAATCTTCCCTGTCCTGGCCTTCTGAAGTAATTTAGCTGAGATAAGTTATGCACCACTACTCCTAGCTACCTGTTTTGAAATGCTGGTTGGTCAGTAATATCTTTTACTGGTCAGTGGATAATTATTGACCAGTTAAAGTTGTAGACAGCCAAATGTGGTGGTGAACACCTGTAATCCCAGATCTCAGGTAGCTGAGGCAGGAGGCTCACTATGAGTTCTTGGCCAGGCTGGGCCAGTAATTGAACAGATTATATATATGTAGAATATTTGTTTTGTTCTAATTGTTTTGTTTTTAAATTTGTTATTTTTATGTATTGGTCTTTTTGAGAGAGGGTCTGGCTATGCTGCTCAGGCTGGCCTGGAGCTCACTTTGTAGCCTCACGATGACTCTTCTGTCTCAGCCCTCAGAGTGCTGGGATTACAGGCTGCACCACAATGTTCAGCTAATTTCTTTTTTCTTTTCTTTCTTTTTTTTTTTTTTTTGTGGCGGAACTGGCCATTGTGCTTGCCAGTCAAGCGCTTATTCTACTGAACCATCTCCCTTGCCAATTTCATTTTTTTTTTGGAACTGAGGATTGGACTCAGGCCCTTGCGCTTGCCAGGGAAGCATTTATTCTACTGAGCCATCTCTCCGGCCCTGCTAATTTCATTTTAACAGGAAATATTTGACCTTACTATGTGGATTGTGTGTGTGTGTGTGTGTGTGTGTGTGTGTGTTACTGGGCCTTGTGCAGTGCTAGGCAAGTACCCCACCACTTAGCTACATCCCCAGCTCTACTATGTGGACTTACACTGGATCTGTGCTCATAACTTTGTAAGGTATTATCCCCACTTTATAGATAAACAGGCTTACACAACTAGTATGTGGCAGAACCACAAGACCAAAACCAGGTTCGGCACCAGTGCCCAGGTTTGTAACCACCATCATCCCAAAGAACTACCCTGGAGAACTGTGTGTGGTGGCACATACCTATAATCCCAGAATTTAGGAGGCTGAGGCAAGAGGATTGTTTTAAGTTCAAGACCAGCCTAGGGGTGCTGGAGAGATGGCTCAGTAGAATAAGCACTTGCCTTGCAAGCACAAGGGCCTGAGTTCAACCCCCGGGTCTACC